GGTGCATCACGGAGCAGAGCCACTGCCTTGGCCAGCCGTTCGATCGGGGGGGCCCTCAGTCCGCTGCCCCCCGCAGGCAGCGGCGGCTCTGAGATGCGCCGGAGGGGAAATCGGCGGGCTCGATCTGACTCCCCGGCGCGATGCCGGGGGGCTCGCTGGCGCGGGTGGAGGCGGGCGGGTCTCTCCCCACCGCAGCGCAAATATTCTCATGGCAGGCCCTGCCAGATCAGGGAGAGCCAGAGCAATTAAGCGGTTTGCATGAGCAGGCACTATTGCTTTGCACCCGATAAACCCAGGTTTATATGAGGATAGTTCCTTTAAGGATAAGCTCATAAAAGTCTCTGGCGTTCAGGCTCGGGGCGCTGGGGTGGAAATGCGGCAGCGCAGGAGAGTATGGCGATGGAAAACGCAGGGAGGGGTCGCCCCCTCGTCTTCCTCGGCTGCCCCCCCCAAGACCGCCTCCTCGAGCAGTGCTACTTTTTCTGAAAGGCAGGGGGCATCGAAGGCTGGGGTCGCAGGGGGCTGGCAAGGCGGTGGTTTTGCAAGCGGCACTGAGCGCCTGCGAGCCCTTTACCTGCGGGAGCGATCTCGCCCCGTCAGGTCTGTGCTGTAGAACCGTCTGTCGCTGAGCAGCTTGTCTGTGCTTCTTCAATACGCACTGGGCTGTGCAATCTTCCCTTCGAGCCACTTTCAAAGTAGCACATTTTATGGCCTAACAGCCTGAAATCAAAGCTCTTTTAATCGGAATGTATTTTATCTTTATTTACACAGTACAAAGCGCAGCCTCCAAGAGAAAAGCAAAGGCCAGATTTTCTGAAAAGTAATTAAAAGTGAAAGCCTTGGAAAATGGGTTGAATAAGTGTGCGTACCCCTGAGTTGGTGTTTAATGGAAGCCCCTTTGTTTGAATTACAGCCATGATTCTGTTTGGACAGGTCTGTACCAACGTCACACACCTAGATTTGGCTTCTTGGTCTGGGTGGTGCCATATCATTCCCCTTCTCAGTGATGGGCTTGGGCCTGTTCCAAGGGACATCGAAGGTCTTTGAAATCTTTTTAAATCCATTTTCTGCTCTGGGCCTTTCCACAGCTTTATCCCAGAGGTGGTTTGATAGCAACTTGTTGCATCTCCTCCAGCTGTGTCTTGAAAGAAGCCAGGGTATTGGCTTCATGAACTTGGATGGGTAACCTGTTCCAGACTCCCACGGCTCTTTGTGTAAAGACCTGTCTTCTGTTCCCAGTGCACTTCCTGGTACAGCGAAGACTGCAGAGGTTGAACGTGTGTTACGTTCGGTCGATGGTACCTCCTGTGCCCTGTCTTCAGTGTGCAGACGCCTCTGTTTTACAACCTGTTTGTGTTTTTGTGTGATTGGAGGGCTAGGTGAGCGCGGCCGTGGCGTCGGGGAGCCGGTGTGAGTTTCTAGGGTGTGTAGCTCCTGTGTGAGGTGTACCTGCAGGCGTCGGTGCGATCTCCAGTAACATGCCCTTCTGTCCCCTCTTCACAGCCTCCTGCAGGCCTGTGTTCGTGTGCTGTTTCACACCGCTCTGCTCTGAACAGAGCATGTTTTCCTGGCCTTTCTGTCCGGTTCGCTCATTACTGCCTGCTTGGCAGGATTTTGACTCTCCTCCAGAGTCGTAATGCCGTCCCAGCCCTCCCCCCTCCATCTGTAACAGATAGCCCATTTCTCAAAATTCCTCATTTTACAGGAAATAACTTTCTTCCTACACTGCAGGAAAAAAAAAAAGCTGCCTATCTAGTTCATGCCCACCTCATTTTGCTTTGCTTGTTTAGCGAATTTGGCAGCTTTGCTTATTCGGTTTTGCAAAATAGGCAGAATCCTGCTCATCTTAAAACAGACTGATTATTCCCCCGCCCCCCCGCAGATGCCGGATTGTGAAGGTTTTGTGTAGCAGGCTTTTCAAAGGATGTTTTATTTGCATGTAGCTCAGATCAAGCCATGTGGTCTCCAGCTTTGCCAATAAAATGAGGTGAAAACGGGCGGCTTTCTGTGTTGGGCCCTGCCTGAGCCCCGCAGCCTCCGTCAGGACAGCGGGACAGTTCGCTGGGCTGTCCAGCGAGCCTGTTCTGCCAGCAGGACAGCTGCAGTTCCTGTGGAATTAAATGTCAGTCTTTTGAATGTGCAAAAATTAATATCAAATTTATGCTGAAAGGGGGCATTAGAGAAAGGCCCAAAATAATGCAGGTCAAGTGAATTCCTCAAATTTGAGTCTCTCCGAGACTCATTTGAGAGCAGGACGCTGATATTGTCAAAGATTGAGCGTTCCAGGTCTGCGGCAAGGCGAGGTCTCGAACCTGGAGCCCAGCTTGTTGGCAGGTGCTGGCACGTCCTGAGAGCGTTTTCCAGACAAATTATCTGGCAGAGGGGAAGGTAGCCCGCCCTCGCAGCCAAAATTATTTGGAATTTAGGCAGCAGAAGAAAAAAGTGCTGTTTGTTTTAGTCGCTTAGGAGAAATGTCAGGTTCCAGGCAGTCCGTGCTGTTCTAGGAAGTGCCAAGCCTCTGTGTGTTTAAAAAAAAAAATTGCCTGGAATTCGCAAAATGAATGCTGTGACTGGCTGGTTAAGTTTTAAATCGGTTCGATGTGTAATCTGGAGGCGGTAAATAATCAGATGGAGCTCTTTCACAGAAGAGCGGCGTGTTTACCTCTGTGGTCTGGGCAGAAGCCAGAGCAGATCAATAAAAACAAACCCAGGTACACCGCCTCTTATCAGGCTCCTCAGCACAGCTCTCAGACGTGCAGGAGTTTGGGCTCTGCCCGGCAGAAAGACCCGGTAGGGTGGAGCTTTTTGTTTTGTGCTAGATCGTGACACCTGTGGCGTTTACCTGGGGGCTGAGGCTCCTGCTCTGGGACGGGGCAGCAGGGGCCTGTGGCTGGAGGGTGGGCGTTCAGGCAGCCGAGAAGGGCTGAGGGACAGGGCGCTAGGCCCGGCAGGACCCAGCTGGGGAAGGAAGGGCTGAGTTCCTGCGTCGCCCAGCCAGATCAGCCCAAGTTGCTGCAGGACCAGATCCCCGTCAGGATCCTGCGGGACTCACCAGCAGGCGGGAAAGAAGAGCAGCAGGCGTTTGTGTTGATTAATCTGTGCTCTGCAGGAAGAAGTGGAAGCGGGGAAGCACCAGGCACGAGAGATGATTATTAATTATTGATCTTGCCGTAGTACAGTAAACTGCTTCTATTCAAGTGGCTCTTTTCACTTGATTGCATAACGGTAATAAAACTGAATAGTTTGTAAGAAAATCGCTTAGTCTCCAGGCTGTGGTTTCTTTCTAGGAAAACGGAATCTGAATATTCCCGCAGGGCTCTTGGCGTTAGTGGAGAACTGCTTTGTTTGGCGCAGTCGACGCACGAGATGAGATCTCCTTTCTGTGGATACGTGGCTGTGACTTGTTGACTAGTCTAATGAGCTCGAGTTCTTCTGAAGGCTTCTGTTCTCCCTGAAGCACAACGACATTTTAAAGGAAGAGCCCCGAAAGAGAGAGAGAGAACCCCTAATGATTCGCCTCTTCTGTGTTTTGTTTTGTTTTTGTGTGCTGACAGGCTGTCGAAACGCAAAACAATCAGAGAACCGCTTCGAGAGATGGACGACGGCAGCAGCTTCATAGAATTCGACGTGCCGGAGTTCAGCAGCACGGTCCTGAGCCAGCTGAACGAGCTGCGCCTGCAGGGCAAGCTATGTGACATCATCGTGCACATCCAGGGCCAGCCCTTCCGGGCCCACAAGGCCGTGCTGGCCGCCAGCTCGCCCTACTTCCGCGACCACTCGGCCCTCAGCACCATGAGCGGGCTCTCCATCTCCGTCATCAAGAGCCCCGACGTCTTCGAGCAGCTGCTGTCCTTCTGCTACACGGGCCGGATGTCCCTGCAGCTCAAGGACGTCATCAGCTTCCTGACGGCGGCCAGCTTCCTGCAGATGCAGGCGGTCATCGACAAGTGCACCCAGATCCTGGAGGGCATCCACTCCAAGATCAGCCTGCCGGGCCCCGCCGACGCCGCGCTGGGCGCCCGGGAGGGCCTCCGGGCCCGGAGCAACGGCGTGAAGGACGGCCACCTCTTCGTCAACCCCCTGGAGATCTCCCCCCCCTGCTTCCCCCGCCA